TGGAGAGGGTCTATACACATATTTATTTTTAAATATAAGAAAAAAAACATTTATATTCTTTATACATTAATCATAAGCAGAGTTGTTGTTCTATGTCATTGCCACAGTTTAATAAAGGACCTAAAGCCACAAAAAGCTACAACAGAGAATTGCCAGACTCTATAACCAGTTGAGTTTTAGTTTAGTTGGTCGGTACAGCCATATATATATATCCTTTAGGGAAGTTATGCATGTTGACCCCCTGCCTGCCTGGCTTTGAATTGTGAGTCGAAATCTATGTAGCTGGAGCGGAGCAGTAAATAAACCCCCACGGAATCCAAAGTGCTGATCGAGCGCGGTAAACCCAACAATTTCCCGCCCTCGTTGCTGGTTTGTGTCCGAATGACAGCAGCGTTAATCCACGGCGATGGCACCAAACGGTCTGGGAGGTGGGGGGGGGGTAACGGAACGCGAGCATCACGCTTACCTTGCTTGGCGCAGTGTGCCTATCGATCTATATAGGGCCGCGGACGTCTAGAGTGGTGAGTTGAAAAGGCCTTCGGAGGGTTAGAGTGGCAAATAAAATAAAAAAACACAGGAAAGGTGAAAGCTTTAAAGGAGTTACTGTGCGATTCGAGCGTTCAACATTCACCACTGGCTTTGTGAATTTGGCTTGCGACGCGGTGACATTATTTACGGCGGCTTGTCCAAGGTGCCCTTGTCTTCCAGCGGTGGATAGATCATGGATGATGGTGATACTTATCATGGCGGATGATGAATGATGATGATAATGATGGCGAAAGGGCGCGTCATTACACGGGCTTCATTTATTGAAAGGTTTCACCTTGGCAGGTCCAATTCGAATGGAAAGGCGCAACTTTCAATACGGGGCTGGTCCAAGAGTTACTTGCCATTACCTCCGCCTCCCGTGTTTTTCACTAACCTCTGCTGTGCGTCTCTGATCGACAAACGTGATGATCAAACGCGCACAACAGCCGCATGGCGCTAAGCAGTGTGGCCGCAAGCAGCGTGGTTGGCACTTGAGGCCTGGTACGGCGAATTAAATGGGGCCACCACCGCACTCCAATCTTTGCCACCTCTCTCGTAGCCCGGCGCATGCCCCGACCTTCCCCTGCTCTTTGTAACCTCGTGCTTCGGTCACTCTGGCCAGAGGGTCCTTGTTGCGTTTGCACCGCCTGCACACTCACCAGCTACGCTACCCGTGTAGGGCCAGACACGCGTTCGGCGCTCGCGATGAGAGACACGGAGCGGACGCCGTCGGCACGGAGAAACGGCTTTCACACTCTTAGTTCTTTCGGTACCTACGTGACTTTACCGAAAGAACTAAGGGTATGAATCCTTGCAGTCACGAAAGCTTCAAATCTAGAAACGGCTTTCACGTTGAGCCGGATGTCGAGTGCTCGGTGAGAGTGACAGTGCGAGTAACGCTGGGTCCTTCTGCAGGAATTTAAGCTTTCGTTTTTTTTTAAATATAAATGTTGGCGAAAGGAATTTAAGTCGGGCCAAAAAAAACTAATCCCATCTGGCTTTTTGTTTTGTAAAATATAGGGCCTTATCAAAGCACGGGCATGTGGTGGAGGTCCTGGTAAAAAAAAAAAACATTAGGGAGAGGTGCTTTAAATTATTTTTGTTTAAACAGGGCTGTACCGTGTGCACTTTGGTGTGCAAAGATTAGTCCATTGCTGAAACAAAACTGCGAGAAAGAGCTCTGGTATGGCTAACTCTTTTAGATGATAAAGCAGCCCAAATGCATCCCATGTGATAAGGGAACTTCTGTATATTTGTTATATACTGTATAAGTAACAAATATATCCTGAATCAATCAGTATATACTGGTAGTGCGGCAAGGCCGTAATTGTAATATTTATTGGGGGGGACACATCCCCCCCCCCAATATTCAAATATACTCAAAATGTCCCCTCAAATATATTGCTATAAAATAGATTTCTGTTTATATGATTGTGGTTATGGTTGTACTTTATTAATCCCATTACATACAATGAAACAAGAAAAGGTAAAAAAGAAAAATCAGCAATGTAATACAATACGCTATTAGACATTATTGAAATAAATAAATAAAAAGTCCATCCCATGTGTTAGTGAATTTTTTATATTTTAAGCAGAAAATGGCAGGAAATTTGATTTCAAATTTTTATTTTTTCTGGGGGGGGGGGGGACCCCAGACCCCCTGGAAGATTTGGTCCCCCCCAATGTTGACTCCATGGCTACGGCCTTGTAGTGTGGTGATGAGGGTGATGTGTTATGACCCTATCGCCGGCCACGGCCAACATCAGTGCTGAATGTGTGAACCGGTCATGGGAACCCCCCCCCCAAACTTCACCAACCCGCATTAACCAGAGTGGTGAAGTATGGTCAAACAACCTCCACGACTGATGCGACGTTGGAAACCTTTACTCAGCGACGGATCGATGAAGGGGGCTGTAAATAAAACATGTGTAACGTTGAAAATGTCACCGTGGCTTGCTCGTCTCTCCCTGCATGTCGCATACTCTCAGAGTACATGCGGCGCTCTATTTTCTCTCCGTTCATATTGTAACATTATGAGCGCCGGCAATTAACGGGGGCATTTATTTCCGTCCCCGCGCCCGTGACTGCAAACGTCGCGTCGGAGCGGCAGTGTGGGCGCGCGGGAGGCAGGGACTTGCGTTATGAACGTTGTTATTGTTTTTTTACGCGCGAACAGAGCGTTGGGTGCCGATGACATACGGTTCTCAACTGGTTGCTCTGCAACGACCCCCCCCCCGACTCCTCTCCTCCTCCACCACCACCAGCCTTTTGATCGTGACGCGGGCTCCTCCGCAAGCCGTGCACGGAAATAGTAAAATAATACAAATAAAACATCATAAAATAATTCTCACGACGTTTCGGCCACAACGCAAGTAGCCGTCCTCAGGTGGAGAACAGGTCTGTCAGACTCTGTCTCCTCGACAGACCTGTTCTCCACCTGAGGACGGCTACTTGCGTTGTGGCCGAAACGTCGTGAGAATTATTTTATTATGTTTTATTTTTATGATTTTATTATTTCCATTCTACGTGACTTTACCGAAAGAACCAAGAAGATGAATCCCTGCAGTCACGAAAGCTTTAAATCGAAATTTAACGTGCACGGAGACTTAATTAAAACGGTCAATCTCGGCCACTGAGGCTCTTCTCACTGGCCACGCCACCACTGGGCCCGACGAGCGGTTGCGCGAGGCGAGCAGTTGCGCTGATAGGGGAGAGAGAGAGAAAAAAAATGTTTTACCGCGAAAAATTATTCAACGAAATGTGTCCGGCACGTGCCGGCCGAGACGCGGGCGCGGGAAATTGTCGCGCGCGGATTTATGGCCGCCGATTTTGTCGCTGCGTTCTCGTTGAGGATGGCCTTTTGGAAAAATGTAAATGCTTCGGTAATTCAAGCCAAACCGTCTTCTTGGTTCTTTCGGTAAAGTCACGTAGAATGGAAATAATATAATAATAAAAATAAAACATAATTAAATAATTCTCACGACGTTTCGGCCACAACGCAAGCAGCCGTCCTCAGGTGAAGACACTGTCTTTCTGACAGACCTGTTCTTCACCTGAGGACGGCTGCTTGCGTTGTGGCCGAAACGTCGTGAGAATTATTTTATTATGTTTCATTTTTATTATTTTATTATTTCCATTCTACGTGACTTTACCGAAAGAACCAAGAAGATGAATCCCTGCAGTCACGAAAGCTTTCAATCGAAATCAAGCCAAACCGCTTTGAAAAAGAAAAAAAAAATCGAGAATGTCTTCTCTGGACAGGGGTTCGGGGGCGGGGGGGCTGACCAAATCGTCAGGAATGTGCCTGGTTCCGTCAGACCTCGGAGAGCGAAGCAGCATTTGAGTCTGTGGCAGTGCTTGGAAGGTCCGACCACTTCAGCACGGAGACGGACAGGCGGAGTTGGCGTTGTGGGGCAGTAGAGGGCAGTGCAGCAAAAATGAATGTTGTTCTGTACCTCCCCCTACCTTCAACGCCGCCCCCTCCCCCCACTACAATTGACCAGATTGGTGAAGTATGGTAAAATACTTTTAACTGGCTATATGTTGTGGGTGGGGGCTCGCTCAGCAGTGGATTAACGGACTGTAAGCGTGCATAAGGCTGTGTGTTTACCAGACGGACATGCAGCAGCATATTTAAACACATTCCTGCGGAGGGAGCTGGTAGGAACGTTGGGTTGCTCGGTCAATGGCCAGGGTCAACGGCGGCGTGGTGTATTCCGCAAATATGGCCGACTGTGAGGGTGGGCACAAGCCGGCGTGAGTAGGTTAAACGTTGCGTTTTATAAGGGCACCACGGGGTGACCAGCCCCTCCCCACCCAGCCCCACCCCTCCCACCCCCACCCAGCCCCACCCTCCCCACCCAGCCCCTCCCCACCCTCCCCACCCAGCCCCTCCCCACCCTCCCCTCCCCACCCAGCCCCTCCCCACCCTCCCCACCCAGCCCCTCCCCACCCTCCCTTCCCCACCCAGCCCCTCCCTCCCCACCCAGCCCCTCCCTGCACGACAGAAGGACACAATAATCCCCTGTGGGCTGGTGTAACCAGAAGGTTCCTACCGGTATAATTTTTCCTCGAGAAGTGAGGCATGTGGGTGAATCATTGGCAGCATTGTCCCAGAGGTAACCCCTTCATGTTGGCCAATCACCTGGCCGTCCATCCTGAAATGCCATTTAATCGGAAAACTTTGACCCTTAGGAGACAAAAGGTTAGTGAAACACGTTGTTGAGTGAGTTTATGATTAATCCTGACATTATTGTTCCGTGTAAGTATGCACGTAGGTATGTTGAACTTCTGTCGCACCGTACGTAGCCAACCGTGCTGATCGAAGTCCCGTTTTTTTATATTTCGGTTTTTAATTCAGCCTTAATGCCACCACCCGCTCAGTTCGCCACGCGTCAGAGCGGCCGACTGCCTCCCTCCTCACCGCCACGCCAGTGCCCGCGCTGCGGCTCGCTTGTCTCTCGCTCCCGCAGTGTGCGGCTGCGACCTGGCGCAATGCGGCTTCTTCGTGAAGAACGGCGAGTACGTGTGCACGCTGGACTACCAGCGCCTCTACGGCACTCGCTGCCAGGCGTGCGGCGACTTTGTGGAGGGAGAGGTGGTGACGGCGCTCGGCAGGACCTACCACCCCCAGTGCTTCGTGTGCTCCGTGTGCAGGTGAGAGCCCTGCAGGCTGGACGGTGCCCCGGGTCTGTTCGCCACAAACCCGTTCGAAGGAGGACGTCTTTCGAACGGGAGGCGTTCGAAGGACGTCCTCCGGGCAATAGACCTAGAGGCCGCCCGCAATCGCGCTGGAAAGACCGGGGCGGTGCCGCCTGGCCGAGGAGAGACCGGCAGTCCGGGAGTCCACGGTTGATGCCGCTAGGCGGAGGGACAGGGCAGGTTGGAAGACCTTGGTGGATTCCGCGACCCGATTCAGTTTGGAAAAGCGGGCCGATACTGTTAGATAATAAGCACAAAGCTGCACTGGCCTAATTCAAGTCTCAATTTAACTTTCTCTGAAAGCACTCCCAACCTGCCCCCCCCCCAGAGTATTTCCAACAACATCATTTACTGTTGAATATTGCATGGATTTGCCCCGCTGCACACATCAATGTTGTTGTGTTCAGGAGTCAGCTTCGTCTAAGCCTGGCGAGGTGACACACCACCACACGGACGCTAGCAGAGGAGATTCAATCAAGACGAGCGGTCCGGGCCGCCGAATCGACGCAGTTACTCGCCATCGTACTCCCTTCCCTTTCTTCTCCCTGCCTAATCACACCACGCACTCAAATCAGGTCGCATCCAAGATGTTCCTCTGTTCTGGCGGGAATGTCCAAGGCATGCAGAGAATTTATTTTGATTAGCACGGGATCCACCTTGCTATACCCCGGTGGGGGGGGGGGGGGGTAAGATGCGAGATGATGATGTAATTTATATATATGTAAATATTCACTCACGAGTGCCGCGATTGGAGTGAGCAATCGACGGTTTTCAAGCTCGCGCTCACTTGGCGGGTGTGGAAATAAAGTGAGGACATGCATCGCATTTGCACCAGGTTTCAATTCACGTCGGAGAAAACACTGTGCGCGAACATTTGCAGGGTCATAGGCAATGGGCAGGAGTTGTGCTGAATACTAAATAACCATTAACGCTTTGCCCTTGGTCCGCAGTAACTGTTGCTACACGTGGAGCGTACAATGGAATTCGCTTCATTATCACGGAGCGCGTGCCTGCCTGCTCGTGTAGCCCCAGGGCACGCCGCATCTACCCCTGGTGTAGCCTTGGGAAGGGTGGCTACTCCATGGGGCATCTACAATTCACGCTTGTTCTATAATGTCTTCCCGGTGCCCTCTCTGGCCACAATTTGATCATATCAATGCCCACGATTCCCTGCTGTAGAGGAAACTTCCGCAAGGCTGTCGATGGAAATTATCCTGTTGGTACGGCGTCTTGAGATGCGGTCGCGTCTAGATGCTTTGCGTTTATATTCGTACGTGTAGAGCCCCTTTTGCCAATGCACCGTTGGACGAAGGGCCTCCTCGCATCACGTCGGTTATTCTTGACCTTACTTCACCGTGCATGTTGGTGAAGGTCGCTCCAACCCCGCTTCACTTCTGAGATCTGACGATATTGGGGTGCATTGGTCATGGGTGTGGGTACTTTATAAATTCAAATTGTATTGTGCGGTTAGATATAATAATATGAATGTTTTTTTATAATGTTTGTGAATGTTTGCATCATTTCTAATGTCTGCACGTGTATAACCCGTGGTGGGAGTGAGAAAGAGAACGACTCGGGGATGTGTTTTCTCACTGGGTTACAAAAACAAAGACAAAGATTCCCCGTATAGACTTAACAGACTGTTGAGGCAAGTGCTGTTAGCGAGCACCTATGAAGGCCGGCATGGCACACGCGGGGGTGGGTGACTGGCGATGTTTACACACCGCACCAGGTACTCATTTGAGGCTGAGTCGACCTAGGGGATGCCTAGGACCGGTTCAGATAATCCTCACTGGTGTTGGCCGTGAGCGGGAATCGAACTCAGGTCACCCGGGTTCATAGCGCAGCGTAGCGCTAAACCGCTACGGCGCGCTAACTGCTCCACTACTCGGGGATCTGTTCTCTCACTGGGTGAGGACCATGAGTAACAGCAGTGTTCCACCTGTGTTCTATTTCTGTTCCCACGCTCCCCCCCAGGCAACCGTTCCCATCAGGGGCCCGTGTCACGTTCAACGGGAGGGAATGCTTGTGCCATGAGTGCACGCAGCCCATCTCGCCCGTGCTGCGCGACCCCAGCAACCCCAGCAGTGAGTCCTGGTGGCCCAGCCGCCTGAACCTCCACTTCTCTAACACCTCAGCAGTTTGGTTGTCTTAAAGCCAATGTACATATCTCATCATCATCATAATCATCGTCGTCGTCGTCATCAGCTGTGATCTATCCATTGCTGAATGGAGTCCTTCCCAAGCCATCGCCATCCCTCATGGCCTCGGGATGCAACGATCCATTTCATTTCTACACAAGAGCCGAGTTTAGTATTTAATCTCTGTGGTATATTTCCTCTCGAGGGTTGATCCCTTCTTTGGCTGCCACTCTGCCGTTAATCTCGAGTTCCGGCCACCTTCTCTACCATCGACGTGTCCTGTCCAAGCCAGCTTATTTCTTTCTGAACGGTCAACGTGACGTTTCGAACTTTGCGCGTGTGTGTTCTCCGATCGACATGTTCTCGGTGTATTTTCAGTAGCTAAAGATAGTCCCATGCTGTCCTCCCCACATTTAACGTCGTGGATTAAAGCTCGTCCAGAGTTTGAATGCTGGAACAGATGCTGGCGGACGATTTTGGTCTCGAGCGCACGTGAGCAAATGGAATTTACGTGGATTTTACGTGGAGATGTGAATAGGAGTATAGTAATAGGTTTTTACCCTTTCAACTGGTACAAAAACTGATACCTTTATACAAGGGATCATGTTTGCAATAACCACAACACAAGCAGTCAAAATGCAAACAAAAAGAAACAACTCTGATAATGATATGCACTGTCCTTGAAGTTGATTGGTCCACACCCGAGACAGCTTTTCTTAGAGCCTAGTCTCCATTGGTGTTGGACCAGATGACGCCAAAAGGCGTGTTTCAAATCTGTCTTATGCTCACGAACACGGTCCGAGACATGTGGCTTAGTTTCCCCAATGTAACTGCTGCCGCAGATGCAGCTTAGTTTGTAGACACTTGGAATCTTGTCCTACACTGATGGGATCAGATCACAAATTGTATGTACTGTGTTAAATCGGACCTGGATCTTGTGATTGTTCATGATTTTGGAAATATTTTTGGTTGCCCCTGCTATGTATGGCAAGGTGATGCTTTTGATTGGATCCTCAGCTGGCTCCTTCCTCACGGTTGGGGTGATGGCTTTGCGGATTGTGTAGTCAGAGTATCCATTCACCTTGAGAGCTTGGTGGACGTGTTTGAGTTCACTGGTTTGGTGTTCATGGTCGGAGATACATTGAGCTCTATGGTGTAGCGTTTTGATGAGGGAATTCTTCTGGGATGGATGGTGGTGGTAATCAGGTTGTAGGTAGGCGTCAGTATGGGTTACTTTTCTGTAGAAAGAATGGCTCATTGAGCCATCAGGTCTCTTTTTGATTAGGTCTTCCAAGAAAGGTAGCATGCCATCCTTTTCTACCTCCATGGTTAATTTGTTAGCTGGGTGTATGGAATTGATGTGGTTGAGGAATTGGTTCAGAGCTGGTTGGCCATGTGGCCAGATGACAAACGTGTCATCCACGTGCCTCTTTCACAAGGACGGGCATAGAGTGGATGCCTGGATGGCGTCCTTCTCAAATTTTTCCATAAAAATATTGGCTACAACCGGAGATAAGGGAGAACAGCCTCTTTACAAAAACGAACAGTAGCACCACTGATTCAGCTTCATTAATTGAACAAACCAAACGGTTTTCCTTCAAACCTTCGGCTGCTAGACCACCCAGATTATAATCCATAAAGAAGGTTTTTATTTTGTATTTTTATTCTTATTTTTATTACTGAAAGAACCAGAATAAGTCTACATTATAGACTGCCAGTACACTCACTCAGTTTAATAACCATTGCTACAGCCTACATGATCGATTGCCAATATTCTCACCAGCTTAAAAACCAGGCTACAGTCCACATAGACTGCCAGTACACTCACCAAGGTTAAGAACCAGGCTACAGTCTACATTATAGACTGCCAGTACACTCACCCAGCTTAATAACCATTGCTATAGTCCACATTAGAGATTGCCAGTACACTAACTTCCGATTAAGAACCAGGCTACAGTCGACATTAGTGTTTTTTTTAATTAATTTTTTTATCATTATTTTTCTATCTACGTGACATTATCGAAATAACCCAAGGCTCTAATATTCACCATTGGAACCTCTTTTGCCAGTAGCAAAATATGATAATTGTTTTTTTACTCTTTTATCTGGCAACAAAATACTGTATTGTTTAAAAATGAAAATCCACGATGGTGCAACTTTCATGCTCGTCGCTAGAGGCACAACCTTCAGGCGGTTCCAACTGAGAAACGCCGTTATTCATATTATGCTCGGGATGCATGTAATTTATTCCGGCATTAATTATACGCTCATGACTAATGCTGATTTTGAGCTAATTTTACTCGAGCAATAAAAAAAAATCTCCTGCGCAGTCGAGTAATTGGACCCACCGATATCCGATGGCTATTTTCCTTATATATGGTCAGCATTTACGTGATGGCTAATTAGGGCACATTTGTTTTTTTTTACTTTGAACACGAGGGCTTGCCCCCCGAACTAATGGAGTGGAAATGCTCAGGTCTTTCAGGTCGACGTACGCCTCGGCCCAGTGTTGCCCCGAATGATGATGGCATGCCCTCCAGTGGCGAAACGGCACGGACGCGTAAAACACACAAAGAAAAAAAATCTCCCCTGCCCCCCCCCAATATAGCCTACATTTTGGCAAATACTTCTAGCGAGCACCTACTAAAGCCAGGGACAGCAGGACGAGTGGGTGGCGCGGCGAGCACACCCGGTGCTCACTAAAAGGCTGAGTCAACCTAGGCGTGGCCCAGTACCAGTTGAGATATCGCTCGCCACTGATGATAGCAGTGACAGGAATAAAATCCAGGTCGCCGAGTTCATAGCACTGTTTGCTAACCAAAAGACAACGTTCTCCCCCGCATAGCCTGAATAAACTGTTGGGGCAAGTGCTGTCAGCGAGCACCTATGAAGGCTGGCACGGCACACGACGGGATGGGCGACCAGCGCTATGCCCGGTCCAGATCAAGTTCGGATAATTATCACTCGTGTTGGCCGTGAGCAGGAATCGAACTCGGGTCCACGGGCTCGTAGCGCAGCATGCGAACTGCTACGCTACCGCTCCTTACTCACGCACACACGCTCTAGCACGCACGCACGCACAAACACCCTGCTGAAATGGCGAACAGATATTTCTTGTGCCGTGTTCTTTTGCTTTCACATGCGAGGCATTTCCCAGACACAGAAATCAGGCGCTGGCACGAGAAAGGGCAGTGTAATGTTTAGCCGCTTGAAACATTCTAAAAGGACGCTCTTGTGCGGCTCATCATGGATGGAGAGCCAAAGTGCCCTCCCGGAGACCGCTCAGGCTTTGTTTCGGAAACAAAATTTAGAGTGTCCGTCTCATTTTGCCTCCGGGAAAAGTGACACGGCTCTTTAGAAACGAACGTTACAAAAACAGGTTACAAAAGCCACATTGATAGGGGTCCTCGTTTTCGAATGGGAGGTGGGAGAGGGTCGGCTATAGAGGGGGTGGGGCGGGGTTGCCCATGTTGAGTGGATCCCGTTGATGTTGTCATGCAATGTTAAGAGCCCTTGTCATCGATAAACACATAGAAACCACTGCTCTTCTCTTAACGGTGATTTTTTTTTACACTTCAGCCCATAGAAGCCTCAGTGATGGCACGCGGGTTCAAATGATGCTCTCGTTATGCGCATCGTATCTACAAAGAACATGTAATAATAAAACACAACTTTCAATTTTTTTTATTTTCTATTCACACCAATTAACCCTTTCCCAATCCGAGATGACTGCAAGTTGCAGGGTGAGGTCCCGTTCACCGCTGAGTCTCGGAACGCGCAAGCGGTTCAGCGTTCATTTTATTTAGAGAGGCGTAGTAGCGCCGTTGTTTTTAAAGACATTGTACTTACCGCAGAGAACTTTGGCGACACGACTGCACTTTATGAAAGCTGGTGCCAAGCTGCACCACACACCCTCCCGCATGGCTTTGTGGGAGCTTCGGTCCTGATCAAGTAATTTATCTTATTTTTTTTTGCAGTTCTGTTCTGATGACGCCGCACACGTACATCATCGGAAGGGAATCAGAAGAAAAAAACTGATGACTTGTACGTCATCGGAATGGGAAAGGGTTAATAAAACAATGTCATTGAGTCATTTAATCTCTATCGCAGTCAAATCCTGTGTCGTTAGGTTGTTTGGCCAATGCCATGCTAATGAGTGTTTGGCATTTCGGAAGAAATTTGAGTACCTGGAGAAAGCCAACATGAATGAGGGGGTAGCAGCAGTCAAAGCTCCACACACATTAAAGAACCCACAGACCAAGCCTACAGCACCTGGAATTCCCAGGTAGTCTCTCATATAACTTACAACCAGGCTCTGGCTGCTTAGCTTTCTGAGATTTGATGGGATAGGGCACATTCAGGGTGATCTTTTCAAGCCCCTTAGCCTAGCGGTTCTGTTAAGGCACGACCATCACCTACCATACGCTGTATAACAATAATGAACGATCAAGTGAAGGCGCTGCCCCGCAATTACTTGCTCAACCCACTGATGGCAGAAGGGCCTCCACTAGACGGAGCTCTAGAGGATGTTTGCAGAGGGTTTTTTGGCCCAATATTCCACGCTGGCCAAAAGCCTTCCATGGAGGTGGGAGTACCGTTACCCACACTTTAATACCACACCCTGCAGTTACCTGCTAATCAACTAACTGTGCTATCCATCAATGCCGCTGGGTGAATCGTTGGGATTTAAGAAAGTTGGCCAGTTGTTTAATACTGCCGTGCCGGGAGATGGCATCGAACTGGTGACTTCTGGATTGCACCCCCAGCTGTGCTACCATTACAGCATGGCAGCATCAAGTACTGTGCGTGTGTTTTTTTTACGGTCGTATAAACTCCATGATCATTGTTGGAATTTGGCCTCTAAAAGAGCGCCCCTTCTTAGAGGCTAAACGCCAGCCGTGGTGTTGTGTGATCAGCACGCCGTGGATAATACCAGCGCTGTGCGG